TAATTTTCCCTTTGGGGCCCCGCCCTGGCCCCAGGGGTTGGGGTAGGAATCCCAATTTTACAATTTTGAAGCCTCATCTACCAAGGATGATTCTGACCAAGTTTGAAAAAAATCCATCCACTGGTTCTTGAGAAGAAGTTGAAAATGTAAAAGTTTACGCACGACGCACGACGGACGACGACGGACGAAAAGCGATTGGAATAGGTCACTTGAGCAAAGCTCAGGTGACCTAATAAATATAACTTCATAAATATAAACATGCTAATCTTCAGAACAAGATGTTCAGGAAGATCTTGCTTTATAAAATTTATAAAATTTGACTATTTGGCTTGTTTGTGCTTTATGTTCTATTAACAGCTATGGTCATTTCTTTTGGAGTATAAGGGAGTCAATTTCGCCTTTAGTTCTCTTCTATTTCACAAAGTATATCATCAGCTCAGAAGTTTGATATTGCAGAAAAGCTATTTGAAGGAAATCTATGTGCCTTATGAAGCTGAATCAGGATAGTATCCTCTACTGTTTGAACTTGAGGAGCCAAAATAGTTTCAAACCTTAATGTGTTTAGCTTAATTCTTAAATATATAATAGAATCAGAACTATCATCAAAATTAACACCAGAAGAATACTGGTCACATCGATATCACCTAAGTGTTAAGACAGCTACAACTTAGCATTTATGGTCAACACAGGATTTCTGTAAATTTGATTTTTATGCTGATGGTTCTTTTTCAGTAATAGACCACATACTCTGCTGTGCTTTAAATCTTCACAGTGAGAAGGTCTCTTACCTGGGGGTTTGATTATGCACTGATCCTCCTCCTCGATATAACCTGAATCACAATCACAGGAGAAGGAACCCTCCTGGTTCACACAACTCCTGTGTTCTCCAGTACAAAGCTCGGCTCCCCCTTCTTCTGTACATTCATTTATATCTGAAAAAGGAGGAAACTAAGGATAATGTCACAAAAAAATAAATTCAATTAAAGATTGTTAAAGGGGGTTTTTCTCTTCATATTTTTATTACCACAAAAAAAAATATTTAAGAAACAATCAAAATATGTGTGTGTATTATAGTTGGTTGTCTTACCGAGGAGAGGAAATTGCAAACAAAATGCAAAAGTTGCTTTTATCCGAGTTCATTATTTTTCCCAACAATTTCTGCCCTCCTTATATATTCCACCATATATGCAAACATATGTTGATTATATCTATTCTACCATGTCAAAATGTAATTGAATTTGCTTTCATGTCTTTCTCAGAGTATAAAAGGCAAGGTGTTTAGGAAAATCCTTTTTTTATTATGATATTATTTTGCACACTGCACAAACATTGGTCATGTAATGCCTCACTTTTATTTCACCAATAAGCCACACATTGCTGATATCATATTTATTGGATCAAGCAGCCACTGGTCCTATTCTGTCACTTTAGCATGAATACAATTGGTAGGACTGCAACACAGCAGGTTTTGTTAATATAAAAGTAAAACAAGCACAAAAGAATACAAATAAACAGGTAAAGGACATACATATACTTTCACACATACCTGTAAAGTTGAAAAACACACATACCTGTGTACAGACACATGTAAAATAAAACCACACATACCTGTGTACAGACACATGTAAAAAAACACACACATACCTGTGTACAGCCACATGTAAAACACACATATACCTGTGTACAGACACATGTAAAAAACACACACATACCTGTGTACAGACACATGAAAAAAACACACACATACCTGTGTACAGACACATGAAAAAAACACACACATACCTGTGTACAGACACATGTAAAACACACATACATACCTGTACTGGTAAAAACACACACATACCTGTACAGGTAAAACACACACATACCTGTGTACAGACACATGTAAAAAAAACACACACATACCTGTGTACAGACACATGTAAAACACACATACATACCTGTACTGGTAAAAACACACACATACCTGTACAGGTAAAACACACACATACCTGTGTACAGACACATGTAAAAAAAACACACACATACCTGTGTACAGACACATGTAAAACACACATACATACCTGTACTGGTAAAAACACACACATACCTGTACAGGTAAAAAACACACATACCTGTGTACAGACACATGTAAAAAAAACACACACATACCTGTGTACAGACACATGTAAAACACACATACATACCTGTACTGGTAAAAACACACACATACCTGTACAGGTAAAAAACACACATACCTGTGTACAGACACATGTAAAAAAAACACACACATACCTGTGTACAGACACATGTAAAACACACATACATACCTGTACTGGTAAAAACACACACATACCTGTACAGGTAAAAACACACACATACCTGTACCGGTAAAAACACACACATACATGTACAGGTAAAAATACACACATACCTGTACAGGTAAAAACACACACATACCTGTACAGGTAAAAACACACACATACCTGTACAGGTAAAACCACACACATACCTGTACAGATAAAACCACACACATACCTGTGCAGGTAAAACCACACACATACCTATACAGATAAAACCACACACATACCTGTGCAGGTAAAAACACACACATACCTGTACAGGTAAAAACACACACATACCTGTGCAGCGATCTTCTTCCAGTCTGTATCCCTCATTACATTCTGTACATTTATCTGCTCCAAACGTAGTACAGCCGTCACAGGACTTGTGACAAGCTGAAAGAAGTAAATAATATTTATAAGGTTATTAAACAATACCTGTGTACAGACACATGTTAAAAAAAAACCACACATACCTATGTACAGACACATGTAAAAAAAACACACACATACCTGTGTACAGACACATGTAAAAAAACACACACATACCTGTGTACAAACGTATTAGCGGATTTCTTCTCAAGCGTATTTACAGTCGAACCGCAAAATGATATAAATCTGTTCTAAAGATTTACACCATACAAAGTCCTTTTAGAGATACTAAAATAACAGAGAAGGAAGTGCTAAATGAACTGAAAACCTTAAATCCGTCAAAATCGCCGGGACCAGACAACATTCACCCTAAAGTTTTAAAGGAATCAGCGGAAATAATTAAAACACCTTTATGTGAAATTTTCAACAAGTCACTCGAAAAATGGAGAACTTCCGGTCAGCTGGAAGGAGGGGCAGATAACGGCAATTCACAAAAAGGAGGATAAGAAATTGCCAGGGAACTATAGACCAGTAAGTCTCACCAGTATAATATGTAAAATCATGGAGAAAATTATAAGAACAAGAATAATGGACCACTTGGAGAAAAACGATTTATTAAATAAGCATCAATACGGGTTTGTCAAAGCAAGATCGACGGTACTACAACTAATAAAGGTCATTGATAATTGGACGGAAATACTCGACCAAGGAGGATCAATCCAAACTGTGTATCTAGATTTCATGACGGCATTTGATACTCTACCACATAAGCGTCTAATAGCTAAATTACATTCATACGGACTATCACCTGAAATTATAAATTGGGTGAAATGTTTTATATCAAATAGGAAACAAAGGGTATCAGTAAATGGCGAAGCATCAAAATGGATGGAAGTAACCAGTGGAATCCCTCAGGACAGTGTTCTCGGACCATGATTGTTCGTGATATACATCAATGACCTACCAGAACTGATAAAATCATCAACATTTTTATTCGCGGATGACACTAAAATGTATAATCCCAGCGAAAATGTCAACCTACAGGAAGACCTGGACCAGCTCCAAAAATGGTCAGATACATGGCTACTTCCATCTGGACAAATGCAAAGTACTTACCCTAGGAAAAAATATCAATACCGCGCCGCTTACTTGTATAAAGACAACGATGAAGGGAGAATCAAAGTCATACTAGAAAACATTAACAAAGAAAAGGATCTCGGAGTAATTACAGACAACAAACTTAAATTTACTGATCATTATACATGAATCGGTCAACAAAGCAAATAGGATAATGGGGACAACAAGAGGCCCAATGGGCCTGCATCGCTCACCTGGTATAAATCTCACACTTGTAACCTTAAAAGTGATCTAAAATAAATCCACAGGCAAAATAAAACATCAGTATTTATGATTAAAATTCATTCAAAAGAACCTGTTATTTTTTTTTCAAACATTTCACCCCTGTGATTGAAAGTCGAACAAAGTCATTCCATTATGTTGAACAAATTTTATAGCCTTTCATCTCAGGATGCAACTTGCAAAGTATCAACATCCTGGGACCCATGGTTATTCAGAAGAGGTCATTTAAAGATTTAAACATATTTGACCCCTGTGACCTTGAATATAAGTCAAAGTCATTCACTTTAATGAACATTGTAGTCCTTGATCCCAGCATGACTAAATATCAACATCCTGAGCCTTTTGGTTATTCAGAACAAGTTGTTTATTTTTTTTTATTTTTTTTTATATTTTGAACATATTTGCTCCTTGTGACCTTGAATATGATTCAAGGTCATACATTTAAACGAACTTGGTAGCCCTTGATCCTAGCATGCTACTGGCCAAATATCATCACCCTGGGCATTTTTGGTTATTCAGAAGTTGTTTAAAGTTTTTAACATATTTGACCCCTATGACCTTGAATATGGGTGAAGGTCATTCATTTGAACAAACTTTGTAGCCCTTCATCTTAGCATGCTACTGGCCAAATATCATCACCCTGTGCATTTTAGTTATTCAGAAGAAGTTGTTTAAAAAATTTTAACATATTTGACCCCTGTGACCTTGAGTATGGGTGAAGGTCATTCATTTGAACAAACTTGATAGCCCTTTACCCGAACATGCTACTGGCCAAATATCATCACCCTGTGCATTTTAGTTATTCAGAAGAAGTTGTTTAATGTTTTTAACATATTTGACCCCAGTGACCTTGAATATAGGTGAAGGTCATTCATTTGAACAAACTTGATAGCCCTTTACCCCAGCATGCTACTGGCCAAATATCATCACCCTGGGCATTTTGGTTATTCAGAAGAAGTTGTTTAAAGTTTTTTTAAGACAATTGACCCCTGTGACCTTGAATATAATTGAAGGTCATTCATTTGAACAAACTTGATAGCTCTTCACTCAAGCATGCTACTGTCCAAATAACACCTCCCTGGACAGTTTGGTTATCGAGAAGAAGATGTTTAAAGTTTTTAACATATTTGACCCCTGTGACCTTGAAAATTGGTGAAGGTCATTAATTTTAACAAACTTTGTAGCCCTTCATCCCAGTTTGCTTCTGGCTAAATATCATCACCCTAGGCCTTTTAGTTATTAAGAAGAAGTTGTTTAGAGTAAAATATTGACGCCGGACGACAGACGGACGGACGGACGGACGACGGACGCCGTGCCACGGCATAAGCTCACTTGGCACTTTGTGCCAGGTGAGCTAATAAGAAGAACATATACATATTTAGATGCAACAACTTTTTGTCTCTTGTATACAGCGCTCGTGAGACCACATCTGGAATACGGAGCTTGCATTTGGAATCCATACCATCAAAAGGACATTAACGAAATTGAAAATCTGCAGAGGAGAGCAACAAAACAGATACCAGGAATGAAAGAACTAAGTTATCAAGCCAGATTAAAGGTACTAAAATTAACAACGTTAAAACACAGAAGATTACGAGGGGATAAGGTACAAATTTAAAAACTGTCACACGGATGATATGACACTTCTGTAACGGAAGGGTTTTTAAATATAAACGATAACAAACGAACAAGAAGTCATAGCCTTCCATTTGGAAAAGGAGTGTGTAAATTAAACTTAAGAAAGTATGCCTTTAAAGAAAGAGTAGTCAACCATTGGAACTCACTGCCAAACCACGTCGTCACATCACCAACACTAAAAACGTTTGAAGCCCGACTGGATAAGCACTGGGGAAAACCAGAATGCTATTATAACCATGAAATTGATAATAATGAACTTATTAACTGTCGGGTGTCAGCTTAGAGTCTGACGATACACCTGATCTGGATATATAGGCATATGCCTGCGTCCAGTACTATTATATTATATTATTATATTATATTATTATTAACAAAAAAAGAATACTTCAATGAGAGATATCTAAATATATAGGCCTACATGCCTGTACTCAATAACTAATGAGAAATTTCAAACAGAAAACATCAATTTGTTTGTATTGTTTATAAGTTTCAAAGGACTTGGCAGTGGGATGAAACTTCAATGTGAATTTTGTTAATTTTTGGTTTCCAATAATGGCCTAAATATCCACTGTTGTATTTTCATAAACAACAAGAATACCGCGGGGCGGAACAATATACGCCCGTTGAATGCCATATAGTGTTATATACTTTCTTACAATGAAAATAGATCTGCATCATTCTAAGAGTGGTAAGCTGACATGCTATAAAAAATGTAGAAGAAAATCTCCGGACAAAAAATCAAATACTGTAATGAACAAAGGGCAATGACTTTTGAAAAAATTGTTCAATCAAAATTCTTTTAAGGGAGACACAACTTCATATCATGATTATGATGTATACCAAGTTTCAAAGAGATCAGTCAAAAAAGGAGATTGCCGGACAAACAAAAGTTTATGCCGGCCGGCCGGACAACCCCATACCATAATACTTCCATCAAACTTGACAGGCGTATAAAAAGGGTAGACAGCCTGTATCGCTATAATACCTCCGAAATAAATGCAATATTGCAAATATTTCCCTAATTTGGGCTCTGTCTCTCTGGTTGAGATATGTATGAGTGTGTATGTTGTTACAGGATTTGGATCTCAAATGTTTCTTTGTAAATACGTCATCAGGGGTGGGGTCAGACCCTGGAACTAATCCTGGTAGCATACTTGTATTCTTCTCTTCATACCCAGCAAGTATGGTTGCACGGTGAGGAACTCAACCATTTCCAATTTACGATCTTTGGACTTAAAATATTCTAACCACTGGTCAACATTTCCTATCAATGTATCAAGGCTTTAGAATGTTTGCATGAGACAGAGGATGAACTGGACCACTTAGCTCAAGGGCAGTTTGTGATAAGGGAGTTAAAAGTTGGGGACAGCAGCAACAATACCTACAATTACAATAGTAGGACCCTTCAGTATTGGAACAGTATTTGCCATTATCACAAGGAGATGCTTCTGCAGAACATTCGTCGATATCTAAACAAAATAAAAATAAAATCTCATGAGATACTGTTTTATTTGGACAGTGATATTATAAAACATGCATGTATCAATGTTTATTTATTTATTTTTTTAAATGCTTAAGGACAGTGATATTATAAAACATGCATGTATCAATGTTTCTTTATTTATTTTTTTAAATGTTTAAGATATATAATTTAAAATCTTTGAAAATAGATAATGAAATGTTGTAAAAAATGGCAAGTCAATCTGCATATTTGCTTGTTTTTCCAGGTAGCATATACATGTTAAAGCATCTGTAAAAAACTATATATCACCAATGCATGCTTTATAGATTTTAATGTTTTCAAAATGGATAACAAGAATTTGTCCATTTGGAGCAATTAGGAGAACAAAACTGATGTTGCTTACCTTGACAGCCATCTTCTTCTGTCTGAGTATATCCTGTTTTACAATCGTCACAGCCCTTTGGCCCCTCCTCCCAGCAGGTGGACTGACAGGATCTGTGACACGCTGCAATGTCAAAGATGTTAAAATACTATTGTTTGTCTTTCATAGAACTGAAAACTAAAAAGAAACTAGATCTGACTTGAAGCATCGGCTTCACAATATCCCACATATCTACAAAGTCTGGAGCCCATTTAATGAAACAATTACTAAGTTATATACATCTTCAGCAACTGTGACTGGATTATTGGTAAATATTATGGAACCCAAGGGTTAATTAGGCAAGACAATCAAACTTTCACTTTTAAACTTCCTTTTTATTAACATGTATATAATACCTTCTTTGTATAGAATTTTTTTATGTGCGTCTCTTGGTAGAATAAGTACCCCTGCAATTTAAAGCAATAATATAATGCTCTATCTTTTTACCTAATATAGTGTCTACTTATATATTAATTACCTGTACATGTTGTATGGGTGTCATTTTTAGAGGCTTCAAAATATCCATCTTTACAGCTGTCACACAGGTCTCCTTCATAACCAGTATTACAGTTACATTTTCCAGTGCCTTTCCGTGTGCCTCCTCCCTAAAAATTATGAGAAATTTGCCATAATATTATAAAACTTCCACTGAAACAGCAGTTGTTTTTGTGCAGATCAAAATAGCTTTCCTATGTATAGTTTTAGGAAACTATGAACATTTATATAAATATATATATACATATACCAAATGTAATTTCAGATTGAAATTTCTATTCATATATCTGAATAAAACTTGAAATAGCAAGATAACAGATTAAAAGATTTTTAAGACATTATCCTGTCTTGCTAATTTTAACAATCTCAAAACCATTAGGAAAATTATTAATGTTAAAAGCATTCTTCAAGCTCAAGGGCCTCAAAATTCTCATATGAATGCTGTACAGATACAAACGTTTGAGATACATGTAATAGCAAAATGAGTCGGTGGGTTTTAACTCTTTTGAATTCTGCTGAGGGCCTGTATGTGTTATAGACTTACCTCACAATTACCGTTGTCCTTGCAGGGTCGTATCTTGCCTCCCGGACATTCAAGACAAGTCGGTCCAAATGTGTTTTCAGGACAACAAACTGTTATTAAATAATACAAAAGTAGAAATCATATTGTTTATTTCTACAATGATGGTGCAAGGGAGATAACTGCAGAATTTTATACAGTACATTTCACCTAATATCACATCCGTTAATGGCACTTTTTGGTTATTTTCATGTTTTTTTTAAGCACCGTTTTTCCTGCTATATAATCTAAGCAATTCAATTCTTTTATTATCACCTGATTTTATGTCGATTTCTCTTAATATCACTTTATTTTGGCCACTGTCACAAAAAAAATACAGGTAAATGGCGGTAATGATTCATGATGTATTGATATTTTACAATGTATATACCCTGTTATTTTTTTCCTTATAAAAAGGTACAACAAAATTAAAATACATAAATAATGCAGACTATATTTCGAAATAAATGCTTTATTTATTTCCTGATATCTGATTAAAAAAGACATCTTGCAAAGAATAATAGAATAGAATCTTACAGCATTATAACTGTTTGAAATTTGATTGTTTGAAAAAAAAATGGAAGGGATCATTCCACACTTTATTAATTTTGCTATCCATGAATGGTAATTGCACTGTATCAAAATGAAAGATTAATGCCCTGGAAAGGGAAGTAACTATAAGCCTGAAAAATACTTTATTAAGTTTTGTGGATAAATGCAACTTACAAATATATTAAAAACAAAGAGAGAAAAACCTGTTCAGTTGGGGCGGTTACGAATAACAGCAAAGGCAGTACAAACATTTTACCTTTCATATTAGATACACATAGCCACATCTTCATGTCCTCTTCTGATCCTTTGGCATAAAAACTAAACCAGTATTTTTCTATAAGTTCTTCATTTTCTTCAAGTATGGTGGGGCACTATGAAAGAAAAGAAATTTTCAAATGAAAATATTTTATTTATTTATAACATCTACAAATCTTTGATGTCATATATATCAAGCAGTAGTTTGATACTACTGAAAATTAACATGGAATTTACCTAGAAAGTCTGACAGATATTTTCATTACAGTTTTCTTTTATACACTGATTTATTCCGACAAAATGCAGGAAATCCATGTATGTACGGGATTTACAATCCTTTGACAGTCAGTTCGTACAGCATTTAAAACTGTAATTGCATAGTTTATAACTAAATTTTTACTTTAAAACACAATATTTTTGTGGTTGATTTTTCCAATGTTCATCTATTTCGTACTAAAATTGTCGAATTGTAGTTGCATTGATGAGTTCCAAAAGACTATAATTCGGGTATTTCCTTAGCCCAAAGTGACATGATAGAAAGGAACGCATTAAATACAGATTTCAGACTATAATTACTACTTTACTACAAACATAGTTTGAGATTTTATCACTTCATGTAAACTTTGGTGCAAACAATAAAACAATTAAATGTGAAATCCTGCAAGACCTGGGCCCGTATTCATGAAACCGTTCTCATGCTCAAGCATTGCTTTTGTGCTCAAACCAAATTTCTTGTAACTCACTTAAATCATGTAAAACGATCAAAAATGTTAACAATGAAAACAGTATGTCGCTTACAGTATCTTCATTTTTTTCCAGGTCATTGACAAACTAAGACTTTATTCTTTAATTTATGAACAGAACAAGAAATTAGGCTTGAGCACAAAATCCATGCTTGAGCATGAGAACGGTTTCGTGAATACAGGCCCAGGTGAACTCTCTTATATTAAATCTGTAGAAAATCCAGTGTTCATTCTTGACTTTAAATGGAGAAAGGCAAATGTACTGAAAAGGTTTGGGGAAACAGTAATCTGTGGGCAATTGAGAAGTGACAACAATGTAAAGCACAGGATTTAAGATACTTATCAGACAGAAATCTCAAAATGAATGAAATAAATCTTACATTTTTATCTTCACCTTCACAGAGACCCTCCATAACTTCTACAAATCTTGTCTCACTGCAAATAAATGCCAACGGGTACCAATCATTCATAGCAAGACACATTATATATGACACATTATATATGAAACATTATATAAGACACATTATATATGACACATTATAATGACACATTATATATGACACATTATATGACACATTATATAAGACACATTATATATGACATATATAACATTATATATGACACATTATATATGCTATAGATCTGTTAACTGCGAGTTAAAAACAACCTAAAAATAAATTAGATTACAGACAAATCTGTTAATTAAGTAATGGTGAGGATGTTGGTGATAGACTCAATTGTTTCAATATTCCAGAAAATTCTGTATATTCTGCACTTTCCATAATTAAATGAAGGAATCAAACTGACTGATCTTTTAGTGTCTGTACTAGTACTTATATTGGTATGGCATGAATACATCAATTCTCATAAAAGATGAAACTATTTTATGAAACTATTTTTATCATGCAAGTGCCAACAATGCTGTCAATGACATCGGAGATAACATTACAGTTTGTATGCTATTTACCTGGTAGCAAAACTTCCTAGGCGACTTTCTTCCCATTTAGTATTTCCTCCACCATAATTAGATTTTGCTGTTTTCTTCAGACCCTGTTAGTCAGATAACATTTGTATAGAGTATTATAAGTACAATTTCCATCATAAACATACATGTATACATGAAACAGGAGATATGAAAAATTCAATACAGCCGAAATGAAATTAAAACCCGGTCCTCCTTAATCTAGACATCATTCCAACAAACTCAGCTTTATAGGAGTACATGTAAGACATTGATAAATATTGTCCTCAATTTCGTTTTCTTTTCAACAAAAAATGTAGTTTTAAGACAATTTTGACACTTTGGCAGTATGGGAATTGAGCATGCCACTGAGGAATCGCAATACTTGTGTATATATATTGTGGTAGATTTTAATTGTACATAGGATTACAGACTCCTTTTAGCTTCGCACTAGAGGGAATTTCCCTTTAGCTAAGTTATGATACACTGTCTGACTAGGTAGTCTGGAATCGCAGGTTGGATCCTCGGAGGAAGCACACTACTCTCTTTCCGGATACAAATGGTGTCCGTGGCCCTACCTGTGGTGTCAGGGTGTTAGAACCTGGGTTGTGGTATTCAAGTGCAAACACATTTTAAAAGAGGGGAGTAGTGCGACAGATTTTAATTGTACACATGCATGATTAAGCCCAATACGGTCACCTAACTTTGTGTGAGAGAGAATTTCCCTAGCTCAATGGTAGAGTATTGGACTAGGAAGTCTGGAATTGCTGTTTAAATCACCTGAGAAAGCACACTACTTTTTTTTATATTTCATTAATATTTGGTTTAAAAGGATTTTTTCTTTTACATTTGTGACAAATGATTCCTTTTAGCCGTATCAAATGCAATGGAGCTGGACTGGGTCCATCCCTGATAACCAGGTGCCCCAATTGGTCAGAGCAGCTGTTTACAGGTCAGAGGTCACAGGGTTGAATCCTTGGCCCGTATTCATGAAACCGTTCTCATGCTCAAGTGTGAATTCTGTGCTCAAACCAACTTTCTTGTAACTCAATTAATCATATCAAACTATCAAAAAGTCAAAAGTCTCTTGATTTTTTTTCCAAATCATTGACAAAATAAGATTTTTTATATAATTTATAGCCAGAAGAAGAAATTGGGCTTGAGCACAAAATCCATGCTTGAGCATCAGAATGGTTTCATGAATACGGGCCCTGGTCCTACTTTGCATTTTTCCTATCCTGTTTCAAAATTAGTGTTGTACTAATGTGACAATTAATACATTACTATTATAGTAGTGTAACTAAAAGTCTGGAATCACTGGTTAGATCAGTAACACAGGGATATTTTATTCTTGGCATAATTGTGCTATTATACTAATATGTATAACAGGAGAGGTAAAATGCATAGCCAGACCAGGATTTGAACCCTAGCGAGGACTCTCCGACCTCCAGGTGAACGCTTTAAACCTGGGCTACCTGATCTCACGAGGTCAGCAGTGAACAACCATGTCCAGCTCTGTTACATTCCTCAGTCTTTTTTCCAAGTCTTTGCACCCGAAGAGAACCTTATTTACAACCTAAGTTAAGGAATCGATCTTGCCAAGCATTCACACAATACCTGAAATAAGGGTTCCAGGGACCCTCGAAACTCTAGAATGACACTCGAACCAATACAGCTATACCTCACAGGGCGATAAGCCGATTGACCAAATCCAGCTCCACTACATAAGCATTGTTCATGCAAGTCTGGCAATTTTTAAATAGAAAAATAGTAATAATAATAAAACATTAGAAGGAACAAATTAATTAACTACTTAAGCTAAAACACTTGCAATGTGTTTACCTTCTCAAAATTATTCACAATAGCATTACAAGTGTCACATTTTGACTTCTCCGCCATCACTCCAAGGTTGTCCCATTTGAAGACTGTTATCAGTGTAAACACGACGCAGAAAACTGTTACATTCATCTTCATCATCTTCTTTGGTCTGTCAAGTGCTGGAAATGACCTTTTTTATCACACACTAAATTCGATTTTACCTCAGAAATGAAAAGAACAATAAGCACACCAAAAATGAAGTTCAAGTTATATCACGTAGGCATGAAATTGACAAGAATTCGTAGCAAATTGCCCTTGCTTTGCCATAAGAACTTATGTAAAAATATACACAAACCGGCAACAGGCCGGTGCGACCTCGCTTCGAGTCTTATTTTCCAAAATAGTACGTCGAATTATGTAACTTCATCTGTGTGGAATTTACAATGTAATCAGTTTAAATCCATCTACTTATACAAACATCCGATTATCATCTGTATAACACAGTTCTCGTCATAAGTCCATTTTTAATACGCTGCATGTGGGCGATTGTGTACATCGACTGCCATGTCAGTGTTTATCGACCAATGAAATGAAGCCACGATCGTCATACGGAGCTTACGAAGTTTATCGGTTAGATAAAGTTCTTTTCATCGGTCTGCTGTACATCAAGCGAAACGAAATTTCACGTTTGCGTTTCATGCATAGACAAGGTGCAAGTATTATTTAATTGACAGGGGTGCCGTCAAGAAGGCATCATCATCAATTACTGGAAAACGCATTAACTTCAGTATATAAGCAAGCGATAATTGTGATATTTTTTAGTAGATTATTGTAACGTATATTATTGGCAAAGTGAAAGTAGAGACCTGGCACATTTGTATCATTTTGCCTCACACCTGGAGTTAAAGTAGTTGTGAATATAATGTTAATTAAGCTGTTACTTTCATGTCTAGCAGAAGTTTATAATAGTGACGGTGCTTGAATTGATTGATCATTTCCCCAAAAATGGACTTGAGCAAGACTGCATCGTTTTATCTATTTCGTCAAAGTAAGCCGGCCGAGATTATTTATTCTCAATACATTTTATTATTTACCCGAAACCAACATGACATATTACTTCGACGACAGCTATTTACGAAAATAGTCATATAGTAGGTTTTACATGTCGTAAAGTTCAAAGACTTTCTTGTAAATTATCACAATTAAAAAAAGATTTGATAGATCTATTTAGCTCTAAACATATATATAAACATAGATATAAATCTTCCGTGAGAAATTTAGTGAAAGCAAATGTAACAGAGGTCATTATTTTTGCAATGTCTCTGCTAGGAGTCGAACCCGGGCATGCAGTAGCGGATCCAGAGACGGGCTATATATAGCTATCTGAGGGGGTTTCCAAATTTCCAAGGGGGGTTTACATGTGGGGGAAAATTGAGAATACATGATTTTCAAAGAAAATTTTCATGGTGGGGGGGGGGGCCGTGTTTCCTGAAGCCCAAAAATCATCTGGATCCACCACTGTTGGGACCTCTTTTACTAGTCTTACGCTCTATACCGAATGTGGTAAAACTTACTGGCTTTGAAGTCGGGTGTCGCTGACCTCTGTAATCTTCAAAGGACGAATATCAGTCTAGTGATTGGTCAGGTTTTTCTACCTGATACCAATCAAATAGCTGAAGTCACATGCCTTTAATTTTGCTATGACATATTCCAGCGATGCAGAGAGCGAAAGTGAGCGTATTTATTCTGCCTCTGAAAGTATCGAGGATGATAGTTTATAGCTAGGAGTGTCAATAACATGTTCACCAATTAAAATTTCAACCTCATGTTGGAACATGGTTTCATCTCTATATCTGAAGGATCTCACTGCCCAGGACTGAATTTGCTTTAATCATAAAATTTTGCATATATGTGTTCTAAAGTCTAGCTTATCATCCACTGTTACACCTAAATCTTGTTCACTGGTAATTAATGCTTTCTAGTAGTGCTGTCAAACCAAACGAATTTCAGTAACCGATTACTGCAAAAATCTTCAGACTGAATACAATTTACACGTTTAGCATATTTTACCATTTCCCAAATTTGCATTCCGACTTCCCTTTAAAATCTTTTTTTTTTTTTGTGATCTTTGTCAATCCATACTATTATGGAATCGCCCGCCCCTCTTAATTTAAATTTTTGGTATTGACTAAGATTGCTGAAATGGCCTCCTGCCCTCAAATCGATTATTTGGTTATTGATTTTGGTAATCAGTTTGCGGTCCTCCGACCATGGGTCCCAACACACTTCCTCGAGTAATACCAATGAGGACGCCATGATACCATTGATGATGATTATCCATTTTCAGGAAGTCTTCTTTAATAGGGTGGGGGTTCGTGTTGCAATGCAATACATGGGCCTAATTATTAAATAATATACTGATCAGCTAATCGTTCACATAAACGATAGATAGATTATGAAAGTATATGATGATTTCGAGATTCTTAATTTTATCAATAAGTTTTGATTACAACTATGACAACAAGAATTCTGTTGTGATTTTTCCCCGATTCAGCACTTATAATGACTGGATAAGTATAAATAGAGTGGTCGCAATTAATAACGATTATAGATATCATATATATATATTTTATACATCAGAAAAATGATCCTTACGGATGAAGAAATATTATAAAAAGACAAATTCTCAACAATGAGTCTTTAGTACTTCCATCTCTTCTAGGAGATTCTTCAGATTTATATATATATATATATAAAGTCAAAGGTAAACATATTCAACAAAGTACAAGACAATGGAGTCTGATAAAACAGTTTATTACGTTTTACCACATATCACCGACCAGTGACGTACAATACGAACCCCAGTAAATACACAAACTTGATATCTGTATCAATTTTTATTTTCCTTGATTGTTGTTTTGTGATTTACATAGCATTTGAAGTATTTTGTAAATAACATGGACACCAGGAGTGTAAAGATAAATTTGTGTTAGTATCACACTATTGGTGTAAACATCGTCAGGCATAGTGTAAAACTATAGGTTTATGTCATAAAGGGTGACGGGCGTGCTTATAACTACTCCAAACAGTTCGTTCATTAGGAGAATTACACATGTACAACTTTACAGTGTGCAGATATACATTAGTGTGGAATTTTGTCACTATCCTAGCTCTCATTTTGAGAGCTTGAAATTACAAGTATTTTTACTAGATTTACATTTCGGGCCATGAAGCAGACTTTACCTATTACAGAACGCCTAATCTTACATAAACCTTAAAGAAAATAACCATCGTAATGATTATGATTATCGTCGTCAAGATATCACTGTATATTATATATTCCTCATATTGAAATAATGTTTTTATTATTTTTAGTTTTTATCATAAACTAGAATAAGCTTTATTTGTCATCAAAGTGTATCAAAATATGTGATGTCAGACTGGCCTTCTTTTCACCTCTTCTGTACTATCAGTAATTTATGAATTGGTGTCTGTTGATTAATGAATATTTTGTTTCCTTTAGCTTCAAATTTTCATTGATTTTTTTAATAAATATAGAGATTTTCTTTCTTTTTGATAAAATGATTCAATCTTATTTTCTTCAATATATGTGTCTCTTTTGATAACATTTTGACATACATCTTATTCAGGCTAGCACTGAAACGTGTTTCTTATAACCAGGACGTCGACGCTACTGTATTACAAATGCACTCATAGCTATATACTATGTACATGTACATACAAAATATAATGGGCAACTTGTACAGTAATAGCTCAAAATAAGCAACATGTTGGTTTTTTAAATGGTTTTATACACAATACATGTATCTCTATCCGTTTATGTTAAGTTTTTCATATTTTGGTTGGCAAGAAGTACTCTAAAGTGATGAATATGGATTATATTAAAATGTATAATAACATACTAAATTCTTGAATAGGAGCTTCGTTCTTCGTATTTCTGATTGATGATGTAACAAAATATATGCTATAAATTTGAAACATTTGCATGCTATTTTACAGGTTTTTTTCATATATATATATATATATAGCGTTCTGATATTTAGACTATCAGCGTTCCTTGTCCGCGATGCTCTCAGCTTAATTGCTGTCTTTAGCCGAGGGGACTATTGGTTTTATATAATAGCTATATTTTCAATTATAGTATATATATCAATTCTATCTTCTTGTAATATAATGTATGTGTACATGTAACTGTTCTGTTTCACTGTGTCTTGATAAAGGAGCGGAATGCTCCGAAAATTTAACAACCTAAACTTGTCCAAACTGTTGGAATTACTTCTTGGCCCCATATATATATATATATTAATGCTTGAATAATTTTGGTAAACTTTGAATAATTTTGATAAGGTTCCATCGACCAATAATACTCATTTACCCGTAAAATGTTAAACATGGTTCGACAGCTGTGATTATATAAAAGTAGTTATCTTTGACTTGCAATGAATTCCTTTTGCAAGAAAAGCATTTGACATATGTATCTTAATCTTTTACAGAAATGCATTTTACAGCAAAGTTTTATTATTGAGAGAGCACGTCATACTTTTTTCAAGACACAAATGATCGCAAAACATTATTTTCTTAAATCATCTCTTTATTGTATGCATCTAAAAAAGCAATATGCCGTGAATATTGTCTTTGTATCACCATTAATAACAAATATTATTTTATAGCTGATCCACAACGGGACAATCCCAAGTGAAAACTCAGTTTGGAGAGCATCCATCTCAAGTTTAAAAGTCCCATGTTTGAATCCTGTCCTGTTTATCTACTCCTTCTACAGTATTAACTTTATGTATGTACATTAAGTATTTTAGTGTTATTAATTCAGACTAGTATTCTCTATACTTCATATTTAACAAATTTAGTTCAAAGGGTTATTTTGACATTTTCACCCACTTTTTAAAAGAAAAATGTTAAGTCCAAGTATTAAATTGCAAAGGGGAGTAAATAAAAAATTACATTTTACATATACTTTCACGATTTTCATTTTATTCCATTTCTTATGGTATTCATGATGATTTGAATTTGTTAAATTTCCAATTCCTGATTTAACCGTTTATCCCCGAATAAATATTTGTGATAGCTGAATCTGCATTTGTTTTCTTTATATGTTATATACAGCAGATGATAAAATCTTGGATACTCCTTGTGGTATGATGTATTACTTTTCCGGCCTGTAGTCACATGGGTCACATCCCCTGTTTTGTCTAACGTGTTACCAGTACAATAAAATGTATATAAACTGCACTGGCAATATGGATAGTTCTCTGTGGTAAATCGTGTGAGGTATTTAATCATTTTTGTCTCCTGCTAATAGCACTAGCACTATGGCCCTGCGGCTGCCAGCAATAAAAATTGTAGTTTCAGGCAGAATATTATGCCAACACAACAATTAATTAATATATATAAACACAGGTCATCTTGGACATGAAACAGTTTTATATTCTCGTCCAAACTTCAACTGTCAATAAAATGTATATTCCTCTTAGATATCAGTTCAACTCTGGTAAAAAGAGTAAACACGTATATATACAAGAAGATTTATCAAAAATTACCATTTGGTACTGACCCACCAGAAAGTGTTATCCTTATGACAACTGAAATTAGGACTACAGTCTCACACTGTTTTATAATCCTGGGGTACTGTCTTTCTTCACTACTCTGTTGAATTATTTTATTTTGTTTTTATGCTTTTTTGCCAATTACAATCCATTAATTGATTCGAACTTAATATCTTAATGACAAGCACAACCAGGAATAGTTCACGGTCTTAGTGTATGTATCACATTGTCTATACACTTGTAAATGATATTTAAGTGTCTATACACACTTGTAAATGAAATCCTCACCACATCTAGTTCTATAAGGCACTTCAACGTCTACACAGATCAAAACATGATCTAAATCTATCAGGTAATCACACACTCAAATCTGACATACAGGATATATCATCAACTCCATCACTGTCATCTTTCAACACAGTTTTTCTTATCTATCCGATTAGAAGAAATCTAACCCGAAACGTCCATCACACCTGCATTGCCAGATTTGCCATCAACAGGTTGTTTTATTGAATGTGACTATGTCTGACATCCATCACATCGTCACTACACTTTCAGTGCCAGACTTTCCATTGTCAACAGTTTGTTAGTTGGGAAATGACTATTTCTGGCATGATCAGGCTTTAACCAAGCTGATTCTGGATATTTTTCCAACAGGTTTCCGCCAGCAGAATGTCATCCATATTCGGAGGTCTTTTCCAGTACACCATTCAGAACCAATGGGTTTGTACTACAACATAAGAAAGTACCATTAACAGTTGAGTTTTGATGATATGATATAACAGTTCAGTTAGTGCAAAAGGATGAAGAGAACTTCCTTCTTAAGGATCCCTGTCCCGATGCAGGCAAAATGAGGGCCCCTTTCGTGTATTTGGTTCAACCAGTTGAACCTGAAAGAAAACAACAGGCCCAGATCTGAACCGAGGCCGACCTCAGAAACATTCGCCACGTGTAGACTGAGGGGTCCAGACATGCCTGACCGAAACTAAAGTGACGACTAATGCTAGTTTGCTTTATTTCTTTATAAAACAAGGTCAATGCATATGTAGATTTTAAGATATGTTCTATAATTTAATGGATGCATGAAAGGAGGACATATTATTCTTGATCTTCTGTATTTTTTAGCTCTGCCTACAGTTAGGTCCAAGTGCATTTGTTTATTGTGGAATATTCCTGCGCCTTCTGAACCATTTCAACCAGGATATATATGCGAATGTGATTCTTGAGAATTCCAATGTCATTTCCATACACACAGTAACCTCCCCTTAATTTTGTTCCAGATATAACTGTAGAGGGACAGTGCCAGTGAACCACCACTGATCAGGTGCTCAGTTGGTTAAGTGACAAGAGGTCCAGGGTTCAAATCTAAGTCTGGACTGAGTTTTGCTAAAGGTCGTAAGTCTAAACGTAGACGTAACTTACGTCAAAAAACTGTTTTACTAAAGGTCTTTTAGTTACATGTACGTCTTTTTATATATCTATAAATGGTATTAATGTATAAACAAGAGGCCCAGAGGGCCTGTATCGCTCACCTGAATATGTTTAAAATAATTGGTACCCCTTCACCCAAGGACGCTTCAGACTAAATATGGAATAAATCCTGTCATTCCTACAGAAGGAGGATTTTATAGATTTTGCTATATTTCCCATATTGATCCCCGCCTCTCACCCCAAAGGGGGCCAGACCCACCATTTATACACATTGGTTTCCCTTAACCCAAGGATGCTCAACACCAAATATGGACCAAATCCTGTCATTCCTACAGAAGTAGAAGGATTTTAAAGAATAGTTTGCTATGTTCCCCTATTGGGCCCCGCCCCTCAGGCCCTTGGGGGGCCAAACCCACAGTTTATACAAAACTGAGTCCCCTTGGCCCAAGGATGCTCCAGACTTAATAAGGATAAAATTCCTTAATATCCCTAGGGTAGGAGAAGGATTTTGAAGGTTTTACCTCTATTTCTCCTATATTCGGCCCCGACCCCTGCCCAAGGGGGGGGGTCACACCTAACAATTATACAAAATTGAGTCCTCTTGACCCAAGGATGCTCCAGACTAAAATAAAGATAAAATCCCTTAATCCCTACGGTAGGAGAAGAATTTTGAAGATTTTACCTATTTCCCCTATTCTGCCCCGCCCATCTGCCCCAAGGGGCGCCACACCCACCATTTATACAAAATTGAGTCCCCTTGGCCCAGGATGCTCCAGACTAAATTAGGATAAAATCCCTTATTCACTACGGTAGAAGAATGATTTTGAAGGTTTTATCTCTATTTCCCCTATTGGGCCCCGCCCCTCTGCCCCCAGGGGGTCACACCCACCAATTATACAAAATTAAGTCACCTTGGCCTAAGGATGCTCCA